GAGAGGCTGGGATTCAAAATATGGGACTTCGACGTGAGAGCTCGAGTCAAATACATAAAGTTGGAGGTTTGCCTTGGAAAACAAGAAACGAAGATTTGAGAAGCTTCTTCGAACATCGATGTTCATATGAGATAAGAGCAACATGACGATGAGAGGGCTATGGTTTTGTCACGTTTAGAGATGCTGAATGTGCAACGAAAGCTTGCGAGAATCCAAGATTTTTCTTATCATCATATACGTATCAAATTTATCGATTAGATGTTAATATATAGAGGATTTTGTATATAAGCCTAAAATCTGTAACAAAATCTTAAATTTGAAATAAAATATTCACATACATCTAAATTTATAAATTCTAAATTCAAATAACAACAAATGATCCGTTGGAGCACTTTGGTTTAAACTCAACTTCTAGGTCTCTTTACATCTAGCTTTGAATTCCGGGTTCAAAGTCCGGCAGCGGAAAACCTTTTTGTTTAAATTTGTTTTTACTGAAAACGCCATAACGCTAAATTGATTTCAAAGTCTTTAATTATATATATTGACTCTTATATATGGATTGTATAATAAATTGGGTGCAAAGACTCCACACATGAGTTTTGCACAATTTGTTGGTAATTAATAGGTTTTATATACGACCACTTTTGCCTACATTGTGCCCCTAAACATATAGATTAAGCTCCCGTCGACGGAATCAGTTAACTCAAGTATGTGTAGTTGGAAACATCTCTTATGAATTTGTGTGCAGGCGCCGACCAATATTACTTCATCTCATATATGTTCTTCGATGACAACTTTATTCAACATATTATGCAATCTTTGTTGGATCCTGGAGTAATCAATGTATGTTCGTGTTGTTAAATTTTACTTGGATCTTGAACTGCTTACCTTTGAGAACCTTTTCTTTGTTGAGAATCATGATACATCGATGGAAAGCAAAGCTTACCGTCCTTTTCTAGTCAGTTGATTGTTTCAGAGTTATGATTTGGCTTAAGACAGTTTTTTTCAGGCTTTAGTCTGTTGAAAGAGTGATAGTGTTACATGTTTGTAACTAATTCAGCTAAGACCTTATTGAGCACTTGTTTGCTATATATATGATGTTAATGGCAGCAGTTATGTGTTGTGAGTAACCGTCAAAATACATCTAGACAACAACAACAAGAGGAGAGTGAGTGTATAAAGACAAAAGTAGAGAGAAAGATTTGTTATTTTTGAAAGCAAAGCAAGGAAGCCAAGCCGCTCGCCATTCTTCTTAGCAAGCCTAATAATCCTTTGTCTCTATTTTGCATCAGCTCGAATCGATTTGCAAAACTCTTTGATCACCTGATAGAACAAAAACCCATTTCCACAAAACTCATGGACTTTGCTTTTATGAGAGTGCAAGGCAATGGCTTTTCCTCTGAGCTGATTAAAACTCTTCTTGCCTCTTCTGTTGCGTGTGACAACAACTATAGGTGCAAATAAGCCTTTGCCTTCATTGACATTCTTCACCATTGGCACTGCTCTGATTGCTTTCCGAGAGACTCTTTCTTGTTGCGGTGGCGCAACCGTCTTGGAGAGCATGTTTTGGTAATCTTCGCCGGAAATGGAACTTCCCCAACCTCCACAAAGGAATTCCAGGTATTGAAAAATATTTTTTTGTTCTTTTTATTCGTCTTAGTCTTATAAAAGGCAGTTTCGTTAATGCTGTATCTTGTAAGCCAAGCGAAGTTATCGCTGTATCTTATTATAACGTTCTTATTTGATTAATGACTTCAATGTGTTTACGGCTTTTGTATTGATTTCTAGTTTGCATGGGATTGTTACAGTTTGATGCTCTGTCTAAATACTGTTGTTTCTTTTTTCGTTTGTGACTTTTCAAAGGGTTGAATTTTGAGTCAGTCCAACCGTTTTTGAAGCTTCTTTCGTTTGACTTCACTTACAACCTCTTAGAAAAAAAACCGGGAAAACGTCCTATTTCCCCATCAGAAGTATCGCATCGTACCAGATGCAGCCCAAACTATGACCCCGTCTCAGATATCCCCAAACAAATGTTTCTCAACGTATTTCTCCCTGACTCGAAAGTTCTGTTGCTAAAACTCCCCGAAATCATAGTTCTCATCGATTTCCTCATGAATTCGGGTTTAAATGGTTTACTGTTGGTTTACTATTTGATTAACCAAATAAGAAAGCCTATTAACCGAATTACAAACCCAATTACAACCCGATTCCCCTAATAAAACATAACCCAGTACATTTTCTTCATTTTCCTTTTCTCTCCAATTTGCACTTCTCTGTAATTGAGTTTCGAAAGCAAAATGTACTCGTTGGATTAGAGTATTAGACACAATTAGAATCAAGCAAATTGTTATTCTTTTTCTGGTTCAGATTTGCAAAATCCAGAAGAAGAACCAAAACCAAAAAATAAAGAAACATAAATCCATGTTAATTGATAAAACAAAGATTGGTCTTTAATGGCTTGCGACTTTGAGGTTGAAGGATTTGTTAATCCAAGCCTTCACGAGCGTAACGTTTAAGAGCAATGTCGATAACAGAGGCAACAAGTTCTTCCTCATAGTCAAAACTACCCAAAACTAGATCGGACTTGCACTTCTTCGATTTGGTCGTTGCGGTTGATGTTGCTTTGATGTGAAGACGGCGGTAGCTTGGCTCCAGCGACGAAGACGACGATCTTGATGGTGTGACGGTCTCTCTTCTTCTTCTTCTCCGGTAACAATTCTAACGTTGGTGATGTAACAGGGATGTGATTTCGGGTTTGAAGGGTTCCTCACACCAACATCTCTTAGGCAAGCCCACAACTCCTCGAACATTTGACGAACTACTCGAATCTCGAGAGACATTGCTCATGAATTCAAAGATCGATTGCAAATAATGATGATTTTAGGGTTCTTAGTTTTGAGAATCTGGAGAATTTAGAGCTAAAGTGAATAAGATGATGTTGGGTCGGGTTTAAAAGGTTAGTCGGGTACTAAAATTGATTTCATACCGGGTATTAGTGGTTTTCTAAGGATTTGGTTTGTAAACCGATTAAACCAAGATTTATGGGGAAACAGATGAGAACTTTCTATTTGGGGGGATTTAAGTTGAGAAGTATTTTTTCGGGTACATCTGAGACGGGGTCATAGTTTGGGCTGCATCTGGTACGATGCGATACTTCTGATGGGGAAATAGGACGTTTTCCCAAAAAAACCAAATAAGATTAGTTAAAAACTTGAAACCAAAAGCTACTATGGGAAACTGTCTAAAGAACAACCTCCTTTAGTTTCTCCCAAGCCTCTCATCATTCCTCCAACTTCAGGTACATCTCTCATTTCAAATGCACTTTCTACATTTGTTTACATATAAGAGAGTTCAACTTTGCAGCTTTGCTGAATTGAACAAGGAAACAATGAATTTGAGACAATACATGATAATGGCTTTACTCGAACATTCTATGAAGGCTACATCAATTAGACAACCTTTGCTCCCCTGCCTCCCTCCATAATTGGACTAGGTTAGTTATGATTGCCTTTAATAATTTAGGTCATGCTTAAGATCGGATTTCCAAAACTTTTACAACGGCATATAATGTAAATTATATTAGTTTTTATCCAAAAATATCCTTTTATCATCTAGTAGATTTTTTTATAAGTGTCAAATTATTTATAAGTTATTGAAATAATATAAAAAAATAATAATAATTCAGGCCTAAAACCTATATCAAAATCTTAAGTTTGTAATGAAACCTATATATAATACAAATTCATTGATTAACAAATAGTCCGCTGTAGCACATTGCTTAAACTTTGAAATCAAGTTACTCTCTAATTGGAATTCCGGGTTCGAATCCCGGCAGCGGAAAATCTTTTTTTTTTAAACTATAAGAAAAACTTTACACAAATCTATATGTACTAGGATATGACCCGCGGACAAATAAATTTTTGTTTGTGTTTTCTTATAACTTTGTGTTGTATATATTTGATTAAGAAACTTTTTGTTAATAGACTCGGCATCTTGAGTCTATTAATCTCTTTGGTCTATGTTGAGTTTTGTGTTTGAAATCTTCTATTCTTTAGTTCTTTGATAATTTTTAGTATTAATTCTTTGATTTGTTTGCTTGTATGATCAGTTCGAGTGCCTTACTTTGTGATGCTGGAAAGTCTTGATCAATAAAAGGTACATTGTTTTCCCCCTAAACATATAAATATGAAAAGGTATAAATATTATCTTGATTCACACTTGTCTTAGTTTGTAGAAATTGTTTTTTTTAGATGACCGTTTTGTTTTTTTACGCCTACATTGTGCCCCTAAACATATAAATTAAGCTACCGTCGAAGGAATCGGTTAACTCAAGTATTTGTAGTTGGAAACATCTCTTATGAATTTGTGTGCAGGCGCCGACCGTTATTACTTGATGTGTATGAATGAGGTTTTGGCATTTTTAGGTGGAGGAAACTTCGCTCTTTGTGTAGACGAATATTTCTCTTAAGGCACAATCTGGCTCAATCTCATTTTGAAGAAATTCCCACTTTTAATATATTTGATGATACTCGAACGAAAGTTTCAACCTGAAGAAGGTCAAGGCAACTGGCAACAAGTGGACCTTCTGAAACATTTGGGAACGAATGTTTGGCTAGCAGAACATAGTTTTAGTTAAAGAATGTCGAGGTAAAGCTGCTTATATATCAAGTTTCCGCGATGAACTTTATACGACATATTATGCAATCTTACATGGATCTTGAAGTAATCAGTGTAAGTTCATGTTGTTAAATCTACAGCTCGGGAGATTTGCGCTTGCATCTCAATACCTCTCCTGACCTTAGAGATTCCTTTCTTTGTCGAGAATCAAGATATAATAGCTCAATAGAAAGCAAAGCTTACCGTCTTTTTCAACCCGTTAATTGTTTCAGAGTTATGATTAGTCTTAAGACAGTTTTTGATGCTTTAATCTATTGAAAGAGTGTCAATATCTCATGTTTGTATAATTATATCTGTGTTACATAGAAAACTAATTCAGCTGAGACCTTATTGAACATTTGTTATCAGAGATTCATGATGTTTTAAGAGTAGTATCAGAGTGTTATACACATGACACAACTTTCAGATGAGAATGGCAGCAGTTATGTGTGTTGAGTAACCCTCAAAAGGCAATGTAACAAAAATCAAGATTATAGATTTGGACAAAATACATCTAGACAAGAACAACAAGGAGAGAGTGAGTGTATACAGACAAAAGCAGAGAGAAAGATTTGTTCTTTTTAAAACCTAAGCAAGGAAGCCAAGCCTCTCTCCATTCTTCTTAGCAAGCCTGATAAGCCCTTGTCTCTGTTTAGCATCAGCTCCAATCGATTTGCAAAACTCAGTGATCACCTGAAAGAACAAAAACCCATTTCCACAAAACTCATGGACTTTGCTTCTTTAACTAGTTCTCAAGAGAATGGTTATAAGACAAACCTGAGAGTGTAAGGCAATGGCTTTTCCTCTGAGCTGATTAAACCTCTTCTTGCCTACTATGTTGCGTGTGACAACGACAAGTGGTGCAAATAAGCCTTTGCCTTCATTAACATTCTTCATCATAGGTACTGCTCTGATTGCTTTTCGTGAGACTCTGGCTTGTTGCGGTGGCGCAACCGTCTTGGAGAGCATGGTTTGGTAATCTTCTCCGGAGATGGAACTTCCCCAACCTCCATAGAAGGAAGTTCTGAGCAAAGTTTGATTACATCCAGTTGCAGAAATCGAAGCAGCCGCCATAATCAATCAGCTTCTCTCGCTCTTTCTCTCTCTCTCTGATCGATGTTAATGGTAGAGAGGAAGAGAAATTGAGTGTGTGTGGTTGGATTTTGAGTTTAACATTTTGGTGTGGACAAGGTTTGGGTGTTGTTTTGGTTTGGATGGAGAAACCAGAGCCACAAATATGATTCTGGTCTTTATGCTTTTTTCATTTTTTTTTACTTGATTTATTACGTTTCTCATGTTTTCGGTTTTGATCCTCTGTATCACGTTGTACTACATCAAATCTTTCTCCACCGTCCGATTATTTAATTTTTATTTCTGTATTTTCTTTCAATGGGAATCATATTGAAGTATTAACCTTATGATGATCTTTAGTTAATGACTGAACCAAGAGTTCAAGCCTTATAGAGGTCATCGAACGATTATTTTGTGGAAGAGATTGCAAGAACTTAGTAGAATTGAGCAATGGTAAAAGCGTGGATTTCGCGGATACAAGCGATTTGCACTGTCGAGCTAAATTTGAGAAGATAGAAATTGTAACGGTTCAACAACTAGTGAATAGGCCGCCAGCCAATATTTTAGCGAAGGATTTGATTCCAGGAGGACACCAAGTGTGCACAAATCTAACTAAATCATTAGTCAATGACTAAACCAAGTGACTTATGTAATGGTTGTAGCGACTATGAATGAAATTAACCGTAGCATAAAGGCAAAGTAGCACCATGAATGGAAGAGCATATCATGTTCATAACATAGCATGCAAGTTATATGCAAGTTTCAAAAGTTCCGTCCAATGTCATGAAAACTAGAGACAAGCAGAGAAATAGACAGACTGTACATTGATAATCTGATGCATCCACACGTTCCAAGCGCATTAGTAGAAGATACCGAATGTGTTCTCGCCACTGTAACTCATGTATAGAAACCCGTCTTCATCTTTGTGCTCTTCATAAATCGCAGACATTATGGCCACTGCAATAAAAGGATAACACTACTACTATTAGCTCCACATTGAGAAAAATATATGATTTCCTTGAACTGGAAAAGTAGATGATTAGGAAAAGCATTTGTATCTAACCAGTTGGTGGTAGAATGTTCTTGACAAAAATGAAGATAGCTTTCTCGGGACTGAGCTTGATCCGCTTCCGTACAACATAAACAAACTGGCCAACAGTCAAATCAGCTGGGACCAAATACCTGACGTTTGTACAATAAGTCAGCCAATTCGTTATCTCAAGAAGGTATGAAGAACATTTATATCCCTAAGCAATAAACCACGAAAACTAGAAACCCCTCCATATCTTTCAATAAAAACTTCTTTCTATCCAATTAACCAATTCATTACTAAATTTGAGAAAAGTGTAGGGCTTGAAGCGAATCCAGTGACGACAAAGAGATTATATCCAACTCTCCTAAATACACAAGCAGATATGGCAATCCTCAAGAGAATCAAGGACTTACTTTTTCTTATCAATATCAGGGACATCACTCTTCTCGGCTCTTTCGACTATGACCTGCACAATTAAATACAGAATAAGGCAAAGCTATGCAATTTCCTACAAGAAGATAGCCACAATTCATACCGGTATTCTGTCCGGATACTTCTCCCTGATACGAGCTGCTTCAGCTTGCCTCTTTTCTGTAACATACACAACAAAAACACGATCCATTAATTCCAACACATCAATATTCTTCTTTAATGTATTTGCATCCTCAGAAAAACTAAAACAGAACATGTTTCAATCTCTAAGCCACGTAAAACAATAGAGACTCGGCGACAATATCAAGAGCTACGAGTGAATCTTAGGATTCTCCTCCACTTGAGCAGAGACTAATATAAAGCAGAACAAAATCAGAACATGTTTCAATCAAAGATTATGTACACTACTACTCAAGCGACTGAAATAGCGATTCTACGCCCCGTGAACAACGCAGACTCAGACCACAAAATCAAGAGAGACAAGTGAAACTTAGTAACTTCAACATCAATATTCTTCTTCACTCTTTTACCAAAAAAAAAAAAAATATTCTTCTTCACTTGGAACAAAGATTATAATGTATTTGCATCATCAAAACAAAAGCTACACGAAAAACAAACATGTTTCAATCAAAGATTATGCACACGACTCAAAGAAACTATACACAGACTCGGCGATCAAATCAAGTGAATCAAATCATCATCAACATCTAATTTTGCGGATTCTTAGAATTGGTACGAAATCAAATTTGAAATCTTCGGATTTCAGAATCAAGCATCAATTCAAAAGCAATTGAAATAGACGAAACCAGATTTTGAGAAATTTGTAAACCTACTCGCTTAGAAAAAACCTACGATGAGAGAGAGATACAGAAGGATCAACAAGATTGATCGATTAGGGTTAAATCGAAAACGAACCGAGAGGATGTTCATGCTTGAAGGAGCTAATCGCCATGATTACGCTGCGAGAGAGAAACAGAGAAGAGAAGCAAAAGGGTTTGTGTTAAACGACGAATTGGGGTAATCAAAAGTAGATAATTAGTTGAAATGTTTTATAAAGGGTATATGCTTGGCAAAAAATCTTTGTATAATTAACTATACTTAATTTAAGAGTTTTTTTTTTTTTGGTAGGATATTAACTTAAGAGTTAAGACTAGGAAGTATTGAAATATAGGATTTTTAAGTTTAAAACACACATTAAAAATTTTACTTTAAAAAAATGATCATTTGTAGAAAAAAAAAGATAAAGCTTTTTTCTAAACGGTATAAAAATTTATAAAACATCAAAAGTCTCTAAAAAATGAACAAATTTTGAGTCTATAATGAGTTCACTTCCATTTTTTCTAACTAATCAGAATCTACCACCTAATATAAAAAAAATTACCCATTTAGTTGTAAAATCAAATTTTAAATAACTCTTTGATCAAACTTAAACAATCATTTAGCCACATTTAATTGTAAAATCTAAATTCTAACCATTTTTTATAAACTCAAACCGATATATGATCTCGCTAATTATAAAATCTAAACTTTGATCCTTCTTTATAAACCCAAACCGATATGTAACCTCGTTTAATTGTAAACTATAAACTCTAACCGTCTCTTATAAATCCAGACCGATATATAACCTTGTTTAGTTGTAAAATCTAAACCCGAACTCTTTTCTATTAACTTAAACCGACATTTAACCTCATTTAATTGTAAAATTTAAACCATACTCCTCCATTATAAACTCAATTCGATATATAACTTCCTTTATAATTATAACATTAAACCTTAATCCCTTTCTTATAAACCCAAACCCACATATAAACTCTAACACCAATGTATATAGTTATATAATTTAATTTGATGACTTACGTTAACTTTTATTATATGGAAAAATTAATTTTTATATTGTTTATTTTTTTAGATGTTAGATTCTAGTTGGTTAAAAAAAGCAGGAGTGAATCCAAAAAAAATTATTTAGATAATTAGGTTAATTGTTGGAAGTTGTTTTCTGAATAAACTAAAATTTCCATATAGAGGCGATTCAAGAAAATAAAGAGGAGTTTGATTATTATTTTTTTATCTTTAATTTCCCGAAGTGCAAATGTTAAAGCGGATCACTTGGCATGAAATGTTCGTTCCCAACCGCAAATTATTATCTATGTAAACGATATTCCTCAGCATTGACTTATATGAGTCAATCTAATAAAGTTGTTGACAAAAAAAAAAGTCCTCTCATAGAATCATACAAACCGACATAATCAATACAATTATAAAAATAAGGATCTCTCCAGACCTGACACCTCAGCATTTTGGGTTGTTCTCAAGATGACACCTCAATAAAATTGTCATCGAATGGAAACATTTCAATTAATACAACTCAGATTTTCAGCCAAGAAGAATTCTTCCTTTTTTTACATCATTTTCTTTTCTTTTCTCTTAAGAAAACGATATTCCATTGTTCTTGAAAACATATTCGCAAACATTTGGTGTGCGTTAATCAGTATCTCTCTTTTGCTTTGCAGAGTCTTCTCTTTGTTGAAACCAAAGAAATCGAAAATGAGTTCCATCGTTTTGGATTTAAACCTAGGATTTCGTATCAGAATGATTATGGAGTTCATAGAATGAATTTACATCTCTTGGATCCTCGGCTTTGAATGATCTTTTCTGGACAAGATGGTGCGTATATGTATGCTCAATGTTTATGTCTTTGTGACGTTATGGTTCTTATTTCTCACTCTTGTTTTGTATTTGATATGGTTCCTCCTTTTTAGCAATCCAATTGGGTTTTGTGGGAACACTGTATTGGTAGTGGATGAGTCTAATAAGTCAAAATCTGGCAATAGTGGGTTAGGAAAAATTGAGGACGGTTCGGTTGTATATAATATTCACACATCTAAGTGGAGGGTGTTTACTGATAGTGGAAGAGATTATTTCTTTAAGGTTGATGTTTGAAAAAATGAAGCTCAATATGTGTTTTTTTTTTCTTTTTTTTTGAATAAGCTAAATTTTGTCTTGCTAGATAATTTGTTCTATCTTATAGGAGAAACTAGAGCCGACTGAGAGGTTTTTTGGTTCAGCAATACAAGGAGCTAAGGAAGGTTTTGGAGAAAAAGATCCACATGTTGCATCTGCATGCAACAATCTGGTTGGTCTCTGGGGGCTTTATTCAGCTTTTATAGTTTCTATGTTTAGTTCTTTGGATTGTAATGCTTTTTGCTTGTTCATTTCATATTAGCATCTTGACTCTTGAGTATGGTCCTCTAAGGGTAAGTGTTTAACTATTTTCTGGCTGAGGAATATAGACATATCCTCATTAATTTACAATTTCTCTGTATGTTGATATATATATATATATATATATATATTTCAGCACAATGGTTTCATGATGATCAATTTCTTTCTGAGAAGTTCCATTCTTATTTGGGAAGGCATCTCTTCCTAAAATTTTCATTCTTAAAGTTCTCTGCTTTTCAACACTTGTTATATCTTGTTTTCTTAGACTATTTACTATATATTTTCCTTCCTCTATGTAAGGCATAGTTATATAGAGTCGAGAAAGAATTCGACAAAGCAAAACCCTTATACCTGGAA